CATATTTCTTTTGACAGTAAGAGCATTCAAATGGCTTCTCATGCATTCTTAGGTGACACTTCAATGTTTTCTCAACTGCATATTTCTTTTGACAGTAAGAGCATTCAAATGGCTTCTCATGCATTCTTAGGTGACAATTCAATGTTTTCTCAACTGCAAATTTCTTTTGGCAGTAAGAGCATTCAAATGGCTTTTCATGTGTCACTAGATGACGCCTCAGCCTTGCCAAAGATGCAAACTCTTTTTTACAATGAGAGCATTCAAACTTCTCGCTATGTGTTCTTAGATGGCGATTAAAAGTTTTCTCCCCTTTGAATTTCTTTTTGCAGTGAGAACATTCAAAGGGCTTCCTGTGCTTTTTGAGGTGACAGTCAAGCTTAGTCTTTGAAGTAAATTTCTTTTCACAGTGAGAACACTTAAATGGATCCTTGTGTGTCCTTAGGTGACGGTCAAACGTTGCTTTTACTGCAAATTTCTTTTGACAGACAGAGCATTYMAATAAATTCTCATGTGTTCTTAGATGATARTCAAGCTTGGTTTTTGTTGCAAATTTCTTCCTGCATTGAGAACAATTTAATGGCTTCATTGTAATGCGTTTTGTCAAATTAAATTCCTCACGGATGTCGTTTGCGCTGTCAGTATGCAATTCGTCTTCCAGATCTGTCTGAATGTCTAAGTCATCTCCATGAACATATAAAACAACTGGTTCTTCAAAGGTTAGTTCTTCTGTCTTGTTGACCCCAGTAGTTCTGTCAATGTTCATGTGATTATAGCCATCATCATTGACWTCTTGACTGGTTATTGGCTGACCAATCATGGTACACTTCTCTCCTTGTTCACTCTGAAATTATACATGATTTCCAAAAAAAAGAAAACAGGTATTACTATTGAAAATAATCTAAATAATTTCTACATAATAATTCTTATTTACATGTGCTTCCTGTCGATTGAAGATCGTAAATATAATGAACTGTACATAAGATCATAGCTGTGGCATTAATGAAATTTCCCCCCTAAAGGGACCAATCAATTAACAKTATTGGCTCAGTTTCTAGATTTCATTTGTACTTTGACATAAACATCAAATGCTTATTCTTTGTTTTCAGTATATGTCAAAGTGGCCATCTTGGAAGAATTTTAACAAAGGATTTTTCATTAGTATCTATTGATCATTTATCTTTTATCTTTTGAATCTCATTGGAATGGGTGAAAACAGTCAATACAAGTTTAATACTCCATTTTCGAATTCAAAGCGAATAACCGCTGTTTTATTTGATTCTCTTACGCAAAGATCTTACCAAACACAAAAGAAAGCATGAGAAAATGTTGTCAGAACAACAGCACTAACAATCTACATTTTCCCCGAGTTGAGGCTAACCCTGTATTCTCAGAAGACTCATACCTTAGGTCTTTTATGGGAATACAGGGTAACCGGTAGTCTGAACTCGGGAAAATGTAAAAGTTATTGTAATAAAGACATTTTCTTTTCATGCTCTCTAAAAAGAACCACAGTCTATACTTGGTGGGAATTCTCATCAATATCACATTAAAACTGGACCTTGAATCCCTTTTCAATTCTAAATGCAACAACGATGATGATTCCCCCAACTGTAATAACACTGAAGTTGTGCAAAACTTGAAACTATTTACATGTACTTCTAAATAGTGCTAGCGTTACAATTAAAAAATAATAGCAGAACTTAATTTAGCAGCATTTAGTCATTAGAGTACAAACACTAAAAGCGTGCAACACTTTGCACTATATTTACTACAAAATAGTGCTAATTAAACGACTTGGCAATAGTTTAGCCGTATTTAGTGGTATTTATGTTGCACAGTTTTAGTGTTTGTTAGAGTGATCGCACTTAAACCGTGCGACTTTATAAAATAAGTAAGCTTAGTGCTATTTAGTTGTGTTTTGTAAATCGTGCATGCGGTACGCAAATTTGAAGTTGTAATCAATGCAATGTCTTCCATCAGAGTGTCGTATGACAAACCAGGTCAGAATAAAAACATGGCGGTACAACGAACTGAACGAAAACACAATCACATAAACTGAAACTTACCTTGATTTGCTGCAACATTTTTTGAAACTATTTTCTGCCGAGTTGAAGACCTTTGATCACCTTCCAGTCTCTAACAAATCAGAATAGAAGCGCCACAGATTTACTTTCTAAGCAATGACTCGTGCCCAGTCGTTTCGCTTTATTTTTCGATGCGCTCGAAGGCGTTGATGGGAAGAGAGATGACCGAGGTTGAATAGTTTGCACAGGCAGCCCACATATCCGGGAGAATACATTTCGGTAAAATCATGGAAATTTAGAAATGTGGCTTTCATATTTTAATTTAGAATGCAGGAGTTTGTAAATGAATATATTGATGCCTGCAAAGTTATATCTCGGGGGTACTCGCCCCAAACTTGGCTGGGGGTGTGCCGCTGGGACATCAAAACCCTGATCCTGTTCCAGAGCGAAATCGCTGAAAACTATACCCTGTTCCAGAGTAAAATCGCTGAAAACGATATCCTGTTCCAGAGTAAAATCGCTGAAAATGATTCCTGTTACAGAGTAAAATCGCTGAAAATGATATCCTGTTCCAGAGAAAATCCAGCACTAACAGATGGCACTAACCTGCTAGACCAAATTTTTACCCCTTTAATTTTTTAACCAGTATCAATAATTCCGGACGCTGACCCCGTTC